AAAAGTCTACACATGTACATAATTATGAGAGGCGCGTGTGTGTGTGTGTGTGTGTGTGTGTGTGCTTGTGTGCTTGTGTGCTTGTGTGCTTGTGTATATGCATGCAGAGGCCACAGATTAACCTCAGGTTTTGTTCCTCAGTAGCCATCCATCCAACTTGCTTTTTTGAAATAGGGTTTCTAACACTGGCTAGGAGCCCGCCCATCAAGCAGGCTGAAATGGTTGGGAACCAACCCCACATACCTGCCTGCTCCTACCTCTCCAGCACTGGGATTAACAAGTGCAAACTGCATGTCAGCTTCCACAAGGGCTAGGGATCTGAACTTCCGCCATCCTTCTGAGGCAGGCACATCACTACTTGAGCTGTCTACCTCCTTTACTTGGGGAGAGACTTAATGCTGTGACTCATGATTTCTCTCTAGCTATAGCTATATTTGAATCACCTAACAGTAACTAACAAAAAAAAAAGACTAAAGCCTGATAGATAAAAATGATGCGAAAGAAGAAAAAAATCAAAGATAAAAACTAATCTGTATTGGAGAACCATTACAGTATTTTTCAAGAGCAAAAGTTTAAAAGTAGTTTAAAAGCTACTAGTTTAAAAGGTACTAGTTATCAACAGAGGAATGGTTACCAAGGAAATCATGTGTATTCACTATGACACAAACCATTCAATCATGTTAGTACCTTAGCATTATATATAAGGATTCCTAATACAGTGTTGAATGGTGGCATAGAAACATACAAAGTTAAACACATAATACTACTGTACTATAAAACTATGGATTACATAAAGACTAAAAGCAGTACATCAAACAGTGGTACACTTGTACCTCACCACTCATCTGAAGTGACACCTAGGAAGGTATGAAAGCAGAAATCAACAGTTGCGTGGCGCTCCTAACAGCTGTATTTTCTTTAGCTGTTAAAATGAATAATTTTCAACAAAGCAAGAGTGCTGTAGTGAGAGACATCAGAACTGCATCTGTCCTTCCCAGGAGACTGTTCAAGTGCGAGACGTAGACTGTAGTGTCCTGGCAGAGCACATCATTAAACAACATGGTGCCTTAGTAATTTTTACACATCTGTAAGTGTATGTGTGCATGTGTGCTCATGTATTTGAGCACATGTGGGCATGTGTAAACATGTATACACTTGTGTTGAAGTGTGAAGACAGCATCACATGTTCAATTCCTATCCACTTTATTTACTGAGGCAGGATCTTACTCTGAGTCTGAGGTTTCTAATTGCAGCTAGCCTGGCCAGTCCAGCTAGCCCATTTACCCCTAGGATCCCTGTCTCCTGAACACTGGGATTATAGGATCCAGCCATGCATGCCTGGCTTTTGCATGGGTTCTAGGGGATTGGAGCTGTGTTTCTTCTCAGCTTTCTGAGGCAAGTGTTTTACTTACTCAGCATATCCCTAGTTTATGCCTTAACATATGAAACAGAACTCTTCTTTATAAAATCAGAGACTGACATGGACTTTGTCCTACAACACACAGCAGCATTAGTTTACAGATTAGGAGCAGTGTGGTGCACCTGAGTCTCAAGAAAAGCAATTCAGAATGTGCTTTAGTCAGTGCTAACACCCAGAAAGAACGAGTCAACTATCAACAAATATCTATCAACAGCCACATGTCCAGAGATACCCTCAAAATCAAAGTCATTACAGTAGAAAATGCATCCAGATAGTTTCTTTGGTAACAATTTTATGTAGATATATCTGTTTCTAAAATCTCAATAGCCAGCTGAAAGGATAGTACTATTTCCTTTTATGTCCAAGGACTTTATGTTTACAGATTGCGTACAGAAGCTTGGTTTGCTGACCACTGACTGTCTCCCACGTTGGGCACTATCTAGAGTTTTCTTTTGATTATTGTCTGTGCTTTACACTTGAAACTAAGACCAATTTCTGTTGGAAAGTTCTCAACTAAGACCACCAGCTGGGGTGCAGCTGGTCTGCAGAACTAGTTTTCATTACAGATTTAATCTATGTGTCATCAGTGTGAACCAGTCTTCCTACAAACTTGTACCATGGCACTCAATAGTTAAGACTTCAAATGGAAACATGCAACTAACTGTGTTGTCTGGATGCTTTCCAAAATTAATATACCCATTAAATAATTTAAATCTCTATTCTCTCTTTCAATATTCATTAATTTCTATTCTTCTGATATCGACATGCTTCTGTGCACTGTGGCCACACACCAGCTCCTGTACACTGTAGCTGCACACTGGGCATCAGTACACTGTGGCTAGTTTTTATGTGCACACACACTGGTTTCCAAGCACTGAGACTGAACTGGGCTTCTATGCACTATGGTCACACACAGGATTCTGTGCCCTGAGGCTGCAGACTGGGCTTCTGGGCACTGAAAGCAAACCTGTCTACAGTATCTCACATTGCTTGTCATTTAGGAACTTAGATTCTCAAAGTAACTATTACTCTCTGACAGAAAATTTTCTTAGGTTTAATGAGAACAAGTTCAACTAAAATCACCAAATCACTTCACTGAACAATGCAATGGAGACAGACATGCATCTACAAGTACGGATGGTATTAACCAAGTATCTCTCATACATGGCTCCATTTCCCTTGTTGGTACCTTATAATATGTTTTCTAAGCCCATTTCTCAAAACTGTATCCTAGGAATCAAATCCTTATCAATCCAAAGTCTACTGTAAAACTTCATCCCCTCTCCCCGACTTCATGAAACAGCTGTTGTACTTCCCCTAAAGCCTGTGACATCCTGGGGTAACTTCTCTCACTTATTTCTATCAGTCAAACTCAGGACCTCTCAACATATACTCTGAAGCCACAATGTTCAAGTTAAAATCTGACCACACATTTACTTTCTGTGCATAAATGGAGACAAATTACTTAAAGTATAGCCTTAGATTCTCCTAGTTATAAATGAGAACAGGAATGGTCCTTTCTGACAGAATGTAAGGATTAAATGAGAGTAAAAGAGCAACAGTATCGAGGATCAGGGTCTGGTGAAGGGGCTGGAGGCACCAGGAAGGCGGCAAAAAGAAGCCCCTGAAACAGCCCAAGAAGCAGGCCAAGGAGACGGATGAGAAAGATAAGGCTTTCAAGCAGAAACAAAAGGAGGAACAGAAAAAACTTGAGGAGCTAAAAGCCAAGGCCGTGGGGAAGGGCCCCTGGCCACAGGGGGAATTAAGAAATCTGGCAAAAAGTATGCTGTTCCTCACATCAGAGGTGACGGTGACCCTCCTCCTCCATCCCTATGTAAACATCTGGATTCCCTGCTATGACATCTTTGCCACTACAGCTAGAATGAAGTGTTACCCTGTAACCTGTCAAACATCTGGATTCCCAGCCATAACATCTTTGCCACCTAATAGCTAGAATGAAGTGTTATCCTGGAGCCTGTTGTTGTACACTGTAATAAACTTCTGTTAAAAAAACAAACAAAAACAAAAAACTCCACAATGAATAAAGTGAACAATGCAATGGCTCACTGTCTCTAGTGTTCAGCAATTCCTACCTCAGCTGTGAATTTAAAGTGAACCCAGTCTAGAATCCCACCAGAGGCTACTGTTCCATCTTCACTGTACTCTGAATTCTGTACTACTTTGAATTAAACAACTCATTTAAAAGCCTAAAAAACAAACAAACAAAAAATAAAACAAACACCAAAAAAAAAAAAAAAAAGGGCAACAGTATCAACAGAGTCTTGCTATGAGACGGCAAGAACTGCAGGCCGTGCAGGACTAACACACACCAGCAGCAATAAACACTGAAGCAACTCTGGCCTCACCACAAAAACTGCGGTCACCTATGTCAGCCTCTCTGTAGGTTTAACCATAGGCTAATGATTCTTACAAGGTACTCCAATGTCTTATCTCCACATGCCTACAAGACAATGGCGCTGGGAAACCCATGGCTAATTCAAACTCAAAAAATCTTAAACATTTTAGTAATCAACCCCCAAGCTCCCAATTTAGAGCCCCTTACCACTATTCACTATTCTCTTTATTAAAATGTGTGGCCATCTTAGATTCTGATTTCTCTTCTGCTCCTCTCCCGTGAGTCACCACCCTAGGTAGCCAATGTGTTCTCTTCCTCGAACCTGAACTTCCTGAACCTGGACTTCCTGCTTTTGCTTCCAACTTCATTTCCTTTCCACATAAAACATGAGCTTCTGCCACACAGAGCTCACCTACTGCTTCCCACAGTGCTCTATGCCCAAGTTTAAACACAGCTACTTACATGTTAAGATGCCAACAGCCAGCTCCTTCAAAATTCAACCTCCTTTCCCAGCAAGCATGATTTCTAGCATGATTTCTAGCTGACTCCCATGGGACTCGCTGCCCGGTCACAGTCCTGCAGCGACTGACATGTCTACAGCCCCAGCCCTCTACTCAGTCCCACTGTGCAGCTCCTTAACTGAGGCTTCCTGACCTGTCCCTGACCTGTGACCTGTCCCTGACCTGCAGCTTTCCTTTCCCTTCTAGCAGCTCCTTTCTTAGCACCACTCAGGAGTGAATGTAATGGATACAACTCTGGCCTGTATTCTAGTCAACTGGTCTGTTTAATACCAAACTGTCTGCTGATATCAGTAGAAGCAGATATACACCTTACCTCCTCTGTTTACCCTATATCACCTGTAAGGAGGCAGTTGTTGTAAATAAGCCCCATGCTTGTAAGTTCCTGAAACCTAAATTTTAATACTCTAAGGCAGAGGTCAGCAAACATTTTCTGTAATAGTTAGATTAATACTTCATATATGGTTTCTGTTACATTTTCTTCTACCTATTATAAGTGTGTGTGTGTGTGTGTGTGTGTGTGTGTGTGTGTGTGTCACTCTCAGCTTGAAGGCTGTGGCTTGACTTAGTCCCATGGAAGCCTTCTGCAAACGGCACTTTTGAATCAGGAGTCTCTATGGTTATGCATCTGTATCAACCATTAGCTCACTTGTTAAGATACTTTGACTTTTGGGTTGCTATCAAATACAAACCCCTGAGTTCTTACCAGCTCTTTCAGACTTTTCTTTCTGTTCGCGCAGCTCCTCTCCCTGGGTAGTCATCTGTTTGATATGACTACGAAGCTGAGCAATCTCATCTTCTTTCAGTTCCAGGGTCTCAAGCATTTGCCGCTTCGTCTCTGTTATTACCATTCCCTGAACAGAAGTGCAGACTCTAAACCATTTGCATAACAAACTGCATCACCAACACACAGCCCAGCCCAAGTGGTATGGGAAGGAAGCAGAACAAACATCTCTTACTAAGGACAGTGGAAGAGTCTCTTTAGTAGCTCACACACTGAAGCCAGTCTTCACTCTGTGCCTCAGCAGACCAGGGTGTGTTGACATTTTAATAATAGGTTTAGTCTCTTAAGCATCAGACTGTGTTTCAGTTATAAGATTTATTTTACAATCTTACTATAGACGTATGGCAATCTTCATCTTAATAAATAGTATCAAACAAAACTAGCCCCTGAATGTGACTGGTGACCAGCATAAGCCACAATTAGCATCTGCATTTTCACACGTACATACTCCTGATACTATGTAAGGTAGATCTGTCTTTAAAAGGTGCTCAGCCCTGACTTGCAGGGTCTACTGACCCTGCTTTGGAGTATGACTACTGGACAGCCAGTGTTAATGTTAACAACCAAGAAAGTGCGGCATAGTTAAGAAAGTTTAAAACATGGTAGAGGGTCTCCATTGTCTTCACAACTCACATCACAAAGGAGAGAGAATGTCAGAGGGGAAGGACAGCTGAACCTATACATTAAAAGAAATCTTAGTCATATCAATCACAATGAAAGAGTTTACTTGGTATATAATAAGACAGCAGATGGTATCTTGAATTACCGTTAAACTGCTAGATGTGATCATTAGGTGATGTTCTTTTGTGAAAATAAAGGGCAGTTTGTTTCGAAGCTAGGCTAAAATATTACATTCATCAACCAAGATGTGAAATGAACACATTTTGTATTACAAAAGGGCCAGAGAATCTGGGATCAAGCAGGGCAAGCTGTTTGTCCACCCATGAGTCTCCCAGCTGCCGACTAGGGGCTGGCTGCTCTCTGTCTCAGCCCTTCCTACATCCTCTGGTCACCTAGGCATCCTGGAATCCACATGTAAAAAGTCTTAACTTAACATACACATTACTCCTTCTTTACTTTTCAGGCAATGATCAATCTACTTCTACAATGTATAAAAGAAAACACTGAAGCCATTCAGTATGTCTTAACTGTAAGTAATGTAACTTTTCTCTGAGAGGTAGGTATGGACAGTAAGCACAGACTTCCTTTGTCACCTTTACTGCTGTGTCTATGACGGAACACTGACTGATACTAAAAAACCAGAGAACCAGGTTTACTAATCCTAATACTGTACAAATCTAGAAATTAAAAATAGTTTTCATGGAAGCAGCTAAAAAATTTTGAAAAGCAGGTGTATATATAAATGCTTCTAATTGCTTTCAAAGCAAATTTGGGGGCCCCTGACAAATTTCATTATCATAAATTTGGGAGTTTTACCTTATCTTGTTCAAGCTGTTCAATTAAGTTCTTTGCATCACGCAACTGAGTGATAAGTTTAGTCTTCTCAGCCATATGAAGCTCCTAAAAAAGTTTTAGAAATTCATTTCCATCTCTAAGAAAGCTTTGCCTCCTATGAGAACTCGACGCAGCTTATCTAATCTAAACAGCCCTTATGGTGTAATGAGGGAGTACACAGGAAATCTCAAATGTATGGGAAATGCTATAAAACCCAGAGCACTTGGGTGCTCACATAAGGACCCCCTCTCCACCCTGTCTATGGACAGGAGGATAAAGGAGGCTTCCCAGAGGAAGCACAGGCCATGCACGAGCCTGCTCATCTGGCTGTACACGATTAAAAGCAGAGGTCAGCTGTCTCTTACCTTCATCTTTTCCAGCTCCTGCAGCCTTTCATCCAGCTGCTCCTGCAGCGCCTCCTTCTCGCTCAGCAGCAGTGCGCACTGCTGCTTGTGGGACCCGATTGTCTCCTTACAGCGCTGAAGTAGATTCTCCTGACGTTTCACTCTTTGCTGGAGCATTTCCAGGGTTTTAGCGGAAGTCCCACCTCCTACAAATGGTAAAACAGTGTCAGCAGGGCAGTCATTAAACACACAAGTGATGAGACACATGAGATGGCTAGTGGGTGAAGGACCCATGTGCTAGAGAGAGCCAACCCTCACAAGCTGTCCTGACTTCCACATGCATATCACATCACACAAACACTCACAGACACTAAGGAAATGAAATTATAAAAAAAGCGTAAGGGCTATAAAGAAACTCTGCAAACGGTGCCATCTTTTTAGGGGGTGAGGAGAGCAGGGATCTGGAGAGCTGAGTGTCTGGAGAGTGTGTCTTCTGCAAGCTCAGCACACATTCTACCACTGAGCTACAGCCCAGTCCCTACAAAGTTGTCTACACAAACCTAACTACACTGTGAAAAGGAACACCCAAATAAGCAAGTGGCATTCTTCAAACTACTGTCAAGTTACTGTGTGATGTTGAGATGAAGTATCAAGTATAAAATGAACTCCTTACCCTGGAATGGCACAGACACTGGCATTAACTAGATCTAGCCTACTTAAAAGTCAAAACTGAGGGGAGGAGGATCATCCCTAAGCCCTAATAAGCTCCATCCCAAAAGTCTTGAGTGCTCTTCCTAGTCCTCTACTCCCTTCCTGAAAGGAGTTCTGCTCACTCTGGGATTTATCTCCTGCATTTGAGCCCGTCCTCACACCCACAGAAACTGCTGCCCCTTGTAGGTTCACCACTCAGATGGCCAGCCACTCAACAACTTATTCTGTCTCTAACAGAACCAAAGTCTACAGTGAGTCTCTTGGTAAGAGAACAAAGACATAGGCAGGTGTGGATGCAAACCTGTAAGCCTGTATTTGGAAGGCTAAGGAAGAAAAAAAAATTACAACTTGAGTGATATGGTTTACTAATGAGACCTTGTCTCAAAAAACCAAAATAGTATAACATAATTTATATCCTTCAATTATTTAAAAATGTGATCTCCTTAAATTTTCAAGTCTTAAATCAATTGCCTTTTTTCTGAAAAAAAAAAAAAAAAAAATCAGTTGGTGGTTTTTTTGGTTGTTTGTTTTTTGGTTTATTTGTTGGTTTTTCCAAGACAAGGTTTCTCTGTTTAGCTCTGGCTGGCCTAGAACTCACACTGCAGACCAGGCTAGCACTGAACTCAAGAGATCCTCCTGTCTCTGCCTCCCAAGTGCTGGGATTAAAGGCAAGCATTACCACCTCCTAACTAACAAGTCAATTTTTAAAACAAACAAACAAACAAACTTGAATGCTGAAGACATGTTAGGGTCAAGGGCACCTTACTTCTGCCTCAGTCTGTTTTATCAGCTTGAATCCTTAATGCTCGACACTGCCCTCAATTTTAGCTTATGCTCTGACACAGGAGCTTACCCACTGGCTCCCCGACACCCTCCACTTTCTCCTCCATCCTCTCCGTGTCATTGTGCACGTCTGCCTGGAGCTCCACTGGAGGGAGTGGTTTTGGAACATCAACACTCATCGGGCCATTCTGTAATCGTTGCTTTAGAAGAGAAACCTAGAAAGAAAGGAAGAAAGGAAGGAAGAAAGAGAAATTCATTACTACAAGAAAAAAGTACGACAGAAATATTTTCTTTAAATTTTGTAAGAAATAGGGTGAAGCCAGGTGGTGATGACGCACAACTTTAATCCCAGTGCTCAGGGGCAGAGGCAGGCAGGCAGATCCCTAATTTCAAGTCCAGCCTGGTCTACTCAGCAAAATCCAGGACAGCCAAGGGTACACAGAGAAACTATCTCAAAAAAAAAAAAAAAACAAAAAAACAAAAAAAAAAAAAAAACCCAGGGGGGCAGGATGGGGTGAGAGAGAGGAAGAGAGAGGGGGCCAGAGAGAAAGAGAGACAGAAGTGAGGAAGGGAGCCGACTTGCGCAGTGGGGCTGTTTGCTACATGTGCGGTGGTACATTAGTGGCGATGCCACAATCAGTCAAAAGGTACAATAAACAAAAGATGCTGTTAAAATGGAAAAAAGGCAGAATTTTAAATCAGGCTTTTTTCTCTTTACATTTGAAATTCTTCAGCTCTCTGACTATCACTGTGTTTTTCTATCAAGGGCTTCAATGCTTTGACCTGTTCTTTTACCTGAGTCTGGAGAACACTGATATACTGATCTTTCTCCTCCAAACATGCATCAAACTCTTCCTGAAGATGTTTCTTTGCTTGCTGATCCATCTGCAGCTCCTACAGCATAAAAGGTATCGCAGGTAATTTTCAATATAAAACAACAGACACAAACTTTAAGTTTACAACATCATCATCTCGATTTGATTTCACTCTTAAAGTACAGAATACTTAGGGAATCCTTAATGTTTAAGACATTAACATTTAAGACCTCAATATCAATAAATAATTTTGTTCCTTAAACAATTTAAGGGACTCCAATGAGAACGTCTTCCTAAAGAACTGCAATGGTGCACAGTGATGTACAAAGGAAACGGAAGGCTTGAGATAAAGGCCTTGGACTGAGCTGTAACAGGCCGAACAGCGCCAGCAGTGTCCTCGAACATAGGCTGAGTCACCAGCACTCCCAACTTAACTGGTGCCCACCAAGTAAGAAACGTCCAGCTCCTGAAGTCAGTACAAATGCTACTTCTTAAGGTGGTTGACCCAAAATCAAAGTTTATCTCTGCTGCACCAGGCACAAGAACGACCTCCTCAGTCTGGGCGCCTGCTCGCCTCCCGCCCTCCGAGCTCCAGCCCTTTCTGTCTTTTACAGATTGGTCCGTCCCTCCAGGCTCAATTCTGTGTGCTCTCTATTTCTCCCTCAACCTCAAGGTCTTAGAACTTTAGAGACTAAGATCTGGAATATATAGGTAGGATACCAAACCCCCTTATTGTTCTGCGGTTGCTACCTCTCTAACTCCCCAAATTTAAAATATTCTCTCTCCCTCTCTCCCCCTACCCCACCTCCAGTACTGTTCTACCACTAAGCTATAGTCCCAGCCTTATACTAGCAATTGCTACTTGTAAATTTACCATTCTGCTACTTTTTAAAGATATTTGTACTTTTAACATACTATATATCTTAAACTAATAAATTCCAGAAACAAAATTCTACCCAGGATACATAAACTTCTAAACTACTCTCATCTGTTCTGAAATCATCTACTTCAAAGCTCTTAGAATATATCGGATACCCATGAAGAACATTCCTACAAAAACAGGTAACAAGGTATTTCCAGCAGTACTGCAGCAGGTGTGGACAAAGCTTGTTGCTAGGCACCAGGCAGGACAAGGCAGAGGAGCAGGGAGCAGGAATGAAGCAGTGTCTGTCTAAAAAGCCTCCTCACTGCAAAGGCCACGACAATGTAATATCAAGGAGCTCAACCTAATCCTGTAGTGACTCACCACTCCAAATTGCAAGTCATTTTATTTCAACAACAGCATGCTGACCAGGAAAGGCGAAAAGAAATCTAGTCTATTTAACAGTGCAAACGACTAAGCCTTGAAAGTTGACACTGACTGCTTACACTGCAGGCAGATACATTTTCATTTCATTAATTTCAACAACAGCAGCATCAACATAGGAAAGCTACACAAATAAAAACCACAGAAGTGTTGTGTGAGCTCACAAGCCGGGCTCACGCGAGCCATTTCCTACTACACACAGGTCAGCCGAGCGTGTGTAACAAGACATCTCTATGAAACTAAGAGGTTGAATCATTGTTCCCAAAGTACCAATCACTACACTTACCTCTCTTAATTCTGAAATTCTCCGAAGTGATTTATCTTGACTCTGACTCAATATACCCTTTAATTAAAAAAAGAAAGAAAGAAAGAGTTAGTTAATCTCTACAGGGCATATTCATTAAAAAAAAAAAAACTAGTCTATGTCAATAGTTGCATCTGCTAAAATGCATAGACACAGAAGTCAAACTATAAATTTAACTATATGTTAACTTTAATAACAGGAGATTTGTAAAGTAAACTCAAACTTCAGAAGCAAATGATTTCACTATAACAAAGACCCTCCCTGTTAATTATCATTATCTGTTGTTAAAGTTTATGTTCTTTAAAACAAATCTAATTCTCATGAACAGCATTACAAATGGTTAAGTTAGTAACTGTCCATTAAGAAGGAATCAAGCCCAGGAGTGATGGCTCACTGGTTAAGAGTACTCTGCTCTTCCAGGCGACCTGGGTTCAATTCTTAGCACCCACATGGCAGCTCACAATTGTCTGGAACTCCAGTTCAGGGGATCTGACACCTTCTACAAGCCTCTGCTGGTACTAGGCACACATATAGTCATAGACAAGTATGCAGGCAAAACACCCATACTCATAAAAAATAATACTTTTTAAAAAATAATTTTAATCAAGTTAAAAGAGAAACCTACTAAAAGGTGTATGCCTCACACTTTGGAGGGTAGCAGGGTGTTTTCACTAGTACAGAGAATTAATGGCCAGCTGCAGTCCATGAAACCAGAGTGACTGTGTGCTCCTGTGAGCAGATACAGAGGTAAAGCACTAAGGAGAGCGATGGTGCATGCCTGTAATCACAGCACTCAGGAAGCTGAGGCAGGAAGACAGCTACACAGGCCATCTCAGGAAAACAGGAGAAACGGGGTAACTTGTAGCTTCTTGGATTTGTGTGTCTAACAACAACAGCAAAATAAATAAATCAGTCAGAAAGAGAAACTAGGTAGACAAAATGTCTGTTTATCCATATAGATTAGCAGAATCTGCCTCCGTGAGGCCCCAGAGCAGAAGTTAAAAAGGAATCAAGTCCAGAAGGATGGCTCACTGGTTAAGAGTACTCTGTTACTCCACTACAGACTACTGTTGCTCTTAATGATAAACTTTTATCATAAGCACCTTTAGTGTTTATTCTTTTAAACAAGTAAAATGTTGGGAGCTGGGGCACTGGGACACACACACACACACACACACACACACCCTTGCAGACCAAAGTGGCAGAAAAGGTGCTTCAAAGAGGCAAACATCCTAAATCTAAATCTTCTACAGTGGGGACCTGGAACTCAAGGAAGCTAGGATGTAACAGGGAAGCCATCTCTGGGCTCTCCATCACTCACTCGTCACCTCTAGCAATGAAACTCCACACAGTATTTAGAAAGGAAAGGTCAGAGTCCTGAGAGTGTCTCTAACTGGAGACCCGTGGATGAGTCAGTCACTCACCTGTAGCTTTCTCTTCTCTCTCTGAAGAGTCTGAAACGCTGTGACGAGCTAAAACAAAGCAACCACCGAGATAGCATTAGTTATTTCTCAATAAATACAACTTATTATTCTAATTGCTGCTAAAACTTTGCACTTTATAAATGTCAAAAAAAACCCAATCAGAACAGTCCTGTATTGACAATTAAGCCTAATTCAATCCATAACAAACATAAAAACCATAGTAAGTCTATTTCTAAAATATAAGATGTAAGTTGACTAAGAAGTAAGCCAGTGAATCTCCATACACTTTAGATTTCAACACGTAATTTCTAGGTGAGAATTGCAGGCAACTCGCCTGAAGGGAGAAGGGCACCTGTCTGTCGGAGTCTCATCTGCAACCGACAACATTATGCAAGTGTTTGCCAGAAACAAATTCCAGGGCCTGACCCAAAACTGACTCACTGAGAACAGAAGGACATGGTGGAGAGACAGAAGCCTGTTTTAAAACTCTCAAGGTAACTTGTTTTGGACTGCAATATTAAACAATAATGAAAATCTGAGGAAAGAAATATATAACTAGCAGATAGGAATGAGGAATCCAAGCCCTAATCCTAATCAGAATGCGCATTCGAGCACAACTTGATAAAGTAATTAGAGTAACACCTTTGTTGTTGTTGTTGTTGTTGTTGTTTTGGGTTTTTTGTTTTGTTTTGTTGTTTTTGTTTTTTTGTTTATTTTGTTTTGTTTTTGAGACAAGGTTTCTCTGTGTAGCCTTGGCTGTCCTGGAACTCACTCTGTAGACCAGGCTAGCCTTGAACTCAGAGATCCAACTGCCTCTGCTTCCCAGAGCTGGGATTAAAGGTGTCCAGCACCACTGCCAGGCCGAGTAACATCTTTTTATCCCTGTAAGCCTTTCACAGCCAATAGTGACATTCAATACACTACTAGGTCCTACGTTAGCAGAGCACAGTGCAGCTCTGAGAAGCATGGTCCAGTAAACCACTCTCCATCTTCTCTAAAAGGAGATGTTCCTAAATGTCACTGCTAATGTTGGGGTCAAGAGACAGTTAACAGTGTAAGGTAGAAGTGAGTCTAGGAACAGGCTTAAGTATTTGGAGACAAGTTCTGCTTAGGAGTAGACCTGTCTTCTTAACTCCAGTCTCAAAAGGCTTCTGTTTAAAAAAAACAAAAACAAAAAACAAACAAACAAACAAAAAAAACAAAACAAAAGGTGGATGGGAAGAAGAGCAACACAAGAGTTAAGTGCCACCTACAGGCTGACCTCACTCACCCCAGGACCCTACCGCAGCAAGGAAAAATAGAGGCACAGGCTACGACATCTCTGTATTCCTGAAAAGCTGCTTGACTCTAAGACAGCTTAGAACGGGAGAACACCCAGAGCAACTGAATACCAAATAGACTCCATCAACTGCTATGTGGCCTTAAGTAAGTTACTTAATCTCTATGGATCCCTAATCTGTTTTCTACAAGCATAAGTAAATTTACATTTGCTTCATAAGAATGGTACAGAATTAAATGCCATTATAAATGTGAACAGAATCTGGCATACTTAAATGCTAACTATACTGTTGCCCTAGCTTCAGACTTAAAACTGTGAATAAATCTATAAAAGTAGCATAAAGATAAACAATCATAATTATGACCACTATCAAATTGAAGGAAAAAAATTACCTAGTTCCACAGCTATGAGAGAGATACCTAGTTTCAGTGCCCCATTTACACTTCCAGAGTCCATCAGATTCCTTTCTACTTTGCCACCATTTATAATTTTAATTTAAAAAGGCAATTTATGTATGTCATCAAATGTATTTTCATTTCATTTTGGTTTTGGCAGTGTGGATAGTAAACTAGCTACACAGACAGTGAACCTTGGACTAACTTTACACCTAACCCTGAAGTTTGATATTCATTAAAATTGAATGTAATGTGGATTTACTAGCCATGTCAAAATAAAATGATGCATATTGAGTATCACAAACAAAAGCCACTGATAACAAAGAACTTCCTGAAGAAGAATTCTTAACCGCACTTGACAGAAAGGGACAAGGAAGGCAAAATATACAGTTTTAGTTCCCAAAGTATTCTTTTTTTTTTTTTTAAGATTTATTTATTTATTATATGTAAGTACACTGTAGCTGTCTTCAGACACCCATATGAGGGCATCAGATCTCATTGTAGATGGTTGTGAGCCACCATGTGGTTGCTGGGATTTGAACTCATGACCTCTAGAAGAGCAGTCAGTGAGTGCTCTTAACCGCTGAGCCATCTCACCAGCCCAAAGTATTCTTTATTTATTAAAAAAATTTTTTTTTTATTCTATTTACTTCTTCCCTTACGCCAAACAGAGTGAGCCTAGGAGTAGTTAAAAGTAGTTGAAAGCAGTGTCAGGAGGCTAGAGAGACGGTGGTTAAGAGCACCTAGCTGCTCCTCACCCCAGTTTCACAGGACCCCAGTTCCATTCTCTACATCCACATGGCAGCTCAGAGCTGAACACAACTCCAGTTCTAGGGGGTCTGACATCTTCTTCTGGCCTCCAAGGGTACCAAGCATACAAGTGGTGCACATATTTATACATACAAACAAAATATTCATAATATAAAATAAAAATTAAGTTTTTTAAAAATTTATGTTAGGCAAAATTTTAAATGTCCAAAAAATAAAAACAGCTTGGCAAGATGGCTCAGTGGGTAAGGGTATTTGTGGCCAAGGGCACTGCCTGTCTGAGTTCAATCCCTGGAGTCAAGAAGGTAGAATGAGAGAACCAGCTCCCACGAGACTTTCTTTAGCCTCTCCTTCCATGTGCTATGGCATGCATTCATGCATGTACATACAAACACAGAATAAACATTTTAAATTTAGATATTGGTACAATGAGAATGAGCCAAATTGTTGAGGACATCAGACTACCTAACCATGACTGTCTGAGAAGTCTGTGTGACTTCTCTAATCAGAGATGAGTCATATGGGGAACATGGAAAACAAAGAGAATGACATTTGACCTAGGTGTCCACAAAAATAGCAGAAAATGTGAAAACCAAAACGTCAGTCTGCTCAAAGGCATCAGGACCCCAGAAAGACCTGAACTAGGTCTGCCACCCCCTCAATAACCAGGATCAGGTCCGCCAGTCTCAGGGTAAGAGCAATGCACGAATAAGACGAAGGGGAGCGCTCTGTGTAAGCCAACACCCACCGTGCTCCTACCTCGGAGTACTTCCCTCGGTAGCTGCTTAGGCTTCGCTCCATTCTGCGCAACCGCTGAAGCAGCTGCTCTCTGTTGAGACTGTCTGAGGTCCACGGTGCATCTTCTGTCTCGCTCTCCATATCAGAAGGTGGATCAAAGGTAGCAGCAGAACAGTCCAGGTCAAGTTGGTTCAGGGACTCTCTGGAAGATGTTCGGACCAAAGACTCTTTAGAAGACCGAAACAGGGATTCCTTTATGGGACTTCGAAACAGAGACTCCATGGAAGGTACTCGGAGCTGGAGCTTCTGCGCAAAAGTCTGTGTGTCACCGGACTGTAACCGAAGCCAATAGAGCATGAGTTAAATATACACTCAGACATCTACTGCCCTTCTATCAGCACCAGTCTGGAGGAGGCTCTAACAAATACAACTTGCATTCCAGATAAGTAATGCAAAGCACGGTTTTCTGAGAAATGAAAGACACTGGCAATGTCTGTAAAGAGTCTAGACCTAGAGTCCCAGAACTCAGCTCTGACTCTCAGGCCCCGTCACCTAGCAGGACAAGTGCTTTCAGTAAGTCGCTGTCCTTCAGTTGCCCATCTGTACAAAAGAAAGCCTGTTTGGTAGGCTGACCCCACGGGACTGCTGTGGAGTCCCACCCACCCACTTGTTAGACCCTTTATTACACACTGTGCCTCAAGTGTGGGCATCCAGGGTGAAGTATGAGGTAGAGGCTCAATTCTGTTTTAACTAGTGAGTTCATGGATTTAATGATTCCAGATCATTCTTTTCAAGAGAAGGAATATAGGCTGAGAGAGGGGGTAATACACTAATGAGACAGTTCTGTTTAGAAGGCAATGGAGTGGAACGCACCAGTAATACACAGGTCTGCTGGAGCTCCGGCCTATGAACTCAAGCTGTTTCTAACAGTACAACCTAGAATCACCGAAATGTGCACAGCAGAGAACACACTTCGGGATGTACATAGAAGTTCATAATACACTGCTAAATGTAAAAGATCTAGTTAGAAAGCAGTATGCACACCATGAACTCGATTTGACTTGTCTATAAATATTTTTTAATTTGTATTTATATTTTCACAGATGCCATCAGATGTTATAAAGGACAGACATATACAGAGGTAAACGTGTCTTCATGCAGCAGTATTTGGGGTGGAATTAGTTTTGTGTTATATTATTCTGTACTTTCTAGTTTGTTTTCATAATGTGCAAGTTCTACCCTTATGATGGAGGGAGGATCAGAAGGAAGAGGAGGAGTACTTCTTGTACAAAATCTCTGAGAATTGCTATCACTGGCAATTCCATTATGGTCACCTCTGGCCCATGTGAAAAACTGCTTTTGAGTTCCCTAGCATCCAACATCCTTACAAAAGACCCTAGAATAGACATATAAAGCACATGGGAAGAAACAGTGAAGATAGTTGGCATTTCAGGGTCTCCAGAAGCTAATGAATAGCAAAAGTCTGCATCTGTAGACCCTAGTCATCTTATCCTCCATGTCTACTATGACTGGCAGTAACTTTTACTGTTTGTTCTTGGAGCTGGGAGTACTACAGGACCTATACATGCTGGGCAAGCGTGTCCCACTCCGCCTCAACCCCAGTCCCTGAACAGAGTGACTCATCCCTTCAGTGCAAGAGTCAGTCTCAACACAACTCAGTTGTTGCTCTACAGAACCTTGAGCAGGTAGCTCAATAGTCCTGCTTCCTCCTCTGTAAAATGAGGACAGAAAATACCACAATGATGATGATGATGACTATGACAACGATGATGAATGCCAGAAAGACTGAATAAGTTAATACAACAGGTAGCAACACTTAGCACAACAAAGAGATAAAGAGGCACACCCTAAACAAAAGCAAATGCAGAAGTAAGAGAATCACCAGGGTGGTAGATGTAGCTCACCGCAGAGCAGTACTCTTATGGTTAGAAGACTGAAGGATAGTAGCTGTGGGATCTGATTAGCTTTCCCACGGTAGGCATGTGGCTTTGATTAAGTGACACAACCTTGCTCTGCCTGTCTCTGTCTGTGTAAGATGAAGCCAGCAGTACCCTGTTCATGAGATAGTTGTGTAATAATCTAACCTGGGTTAAGAACTTAAGCTCACCTAAGGCAGATACTTCTTTTACCAGACATCCTATCTTCCCTTCTTCTTTCCTACCACTTACTTCCTCACCCCCAACCCACTCTGACCAGGAGATGGTTAATTAAAACTTTGGTAACAAACAGCATGAGGATGGAGAGAGATTTATGGTGAAGGACTGCAAAGCTGTGGTTGAAGCTAAACAGAAGCACCCTCTCTAGACCAGCAAGTTCATCCCTACACATGCGCCTACAGACATGTAAATGGTCAACAAAAGACCATTCAAAATGAACACTAAGCGAAATTAGCCTATTAATGAGGGCTTCTTTTTTTAAATTGTTTTTCCCCCACTGGAATACCAGCCAATTATCATGTTCACCAATGGAATACTAAAAAGCAATGAAAATGGCTTGAAATCATAACAACAATGTAGATAAATCTCACAGAGTATGAACAGAAGAAGCCAGGTATTCTGGGCGTGGTGGCTCATACTATAATCTCAGTACTCGAGAGACAGCTGCCGGTTTGAAACCATCCTGGCTTACACAGTAAGTTCTAGGCCAGCCAAGGTGAGATGTGTGACTATCTACATCAGTGGTTCTCAACCTTCCTAATGCTTAAACCACTTAACACAGTTCCTCACTTTGTGGTGACTACCAACCATAAAATGATTTCATTGCTACTTCATAACTGTAAATTTGCTACTGTTATAAGGCATAATATAAATATGTGATATGCATGATATCTGATATGCAAAACCCTAAGAAAAGGTCATTAGATCCCAAAGGGTTCATGGCCTGCAAGTTGAGACCTTCTAGTCTAACAGGAAGGAAGGAAGGAAGGAAGGAAGGAAGGAAGGAAGGAAGGAAGGAAGGAAGGG